GGACAATTCCAGTTTATTTAAACTTTCTCTGATTGGTTTATTTGTTCATACTGCTTTTGGTCACACTAGTGTGATAAATTGGGTCTCTAAATTTCATCAAGTTTTGAAGAGGGAAACTGCTGGATCAACATTTTTATGATATCCAGTCCAGCTGCCAATCAACCATGACTTGGTTGATAGACAAGTTGCAGCATTAAACTGTAGACTGGTGAAAACACTAATCCGCTCTACTGAATGTGTGTGTCTATACTACTTTCTAACGAGACAAAGTCACTGCTTGACTTCTGCCCTACCTAAATATTATTCCTTCCTGACAGGTTACATTTTTGGGGAGGAAGGGAAAGAAGATTTACCCCATTTACTAAATTTGGGAAATCACAGCATAACATACAGCCCTCCAGAGAGATGTGAGGAAATCATAGATTAAAGGTTGTGACGTATAAGAGCAGAGACACGTGGTGCCAATTGGGCCTAAACTCCAGGAGGAATGCTCATTGTGTTAAGGAGGAGAGAGGAAGGGAACCCAACATAGCCTACTGCATGTGTGTGTGTTGGATATTAACTGTGTAACGCCCTACTCATTCCATTTCGTGTGTGTGTCTGCACTTGCGTCTCTGTCTCTGACATAATCCCACCAGTCACAAGACCCGATGTCAACATCCAATCAGCGGCCCGTTTTCTGTGGTTTTCTGATTAAGCTGTCAAGAAAATGCTCTTCACGCCCTAAAGCCACGCCTTAAGGATGCGGTTAAACTACACTAAGCAATTACCACTCATCCATTCAACTACACTCAATCAAACTTTCAGCTTCTTTAAGGCCCAACCCTTTGGCATTGAGTATTTTTTAAATATCTGACCCGGTTAAAACCCATGTGTATTGACTGCACTTTTAATACCAGAAAGTTGTGATGTTTGAAGACACAAGCTGATATATGCCTCCTACAATAAATCCAATGATGAAATATATTATGCTGATACAACAAGCACACTGCGACAACAAAGAAATCAAATCTGTTGCACATTTAGGATAAAACCATGTCGAGATAAATGGGAGATAAATTAAGTTTTAGTTTTGGAGACTTTTTAATCATGGTGACCAGTCCATCTTTACATTAACAAAAAATATAACAGACAATTATAGGGGTATTTCTATTCCAGGGGATAAGCTGCCTCTGAAGGGGTACTTGGAAAGATGAGTATCAACTCATTAAAATAAATTAATTATGTTTTAATATCAACACACTGAGTCAGCTGTAACACTTGTGCTCTATGAAACAGTGTTTTTCATTAAATAATAAGTCGACATAGTTAAAATTAATGGATAGATGATTGAAATAGTTGTAGAAAGTAGTAGGAATAGTTCTTTGAACCAGTTTTAGGCAAATTAGTGGATAGATGGTTAAAATGTCTAGCTTCTTCTACTCTCAGTGGTAGTCAAATGCTAATTTGACTGACCTAAACACACCAATTCTATTGTATTGGGAAAAAAGGTTGTAACATTATCCACTTTTATACTGTTAAAATCTGACAGGGCTGTGAGTAAAAATGTTTGGGAGTCACTGTTGTAGATTATGTTGCATCACCATAGGGGTGATGAGAGTTGATACATATGGTCTTGAGGTGAAAGAACTTCACTTCAAAGATGGGTAAAACAGTACACACAAACAATATTTAAGGTAAGAAGAGCCAGAGAAGACAGCTAGCTACAGTGTTTTCAGCACCATAACACACCTGCAAGCATTCCTCCCCACACCTGTAGCTAAAATATTACAATACTGGGGACACTAAAGAAAGCTGATAAAACTGGAAGCTGTGACTTATTAACACAGTTTGGGGTAAACAGGCCTTACTATTGTTTTAAAAATCTGAATGTATTTTCTATGATCTGAGTTTATAATATGGATCAATATTAGTAGAAAAAAACAAATTGCAAGATCTTTATAAACTATAAACATCCTTAAGCTCAACATGCAAGAGGATCCAACAGTGCTGTGTATGAACATTTAATATTATGTAATGAATTCAAACATTTAACTGATATTATGAACTTCCTGCAACAATCAGACTTGAAACAAACAAACTTCAAGAAAACTAATTTAAAAGACATCTTTGAATAATATACAAAAACAAATTAATCAGCAGGGACATTTGCCTTCAGTTGAAAAAATCTTCCTTTATCGGCTGTCTAGAAGCTTCTAAGGGAGTTGTTTACATGATGCACTACATGTTGCTGTTTACGGAAGCATATTGCATTCACTTGAAAATGTATTTTTTGGTTTGTTTTTCGGACTAATTTTTTTTCTGAGTTTAGAGAGCATTTTAAACAACAATATGGGGTTAATGCTATGTTTAAAGAACTACTGTTGACAGCTGTTCACATGGGAAGAGCATCCCTCATCAGATCCAGGGATTTGAATCACCCGTGGTATATTTTGCTCTCAGTGTTGCTCCTCTAATGTTTGAGCTGCAGTATTGTTGAGGAGTGGTTGTGTCAGTGTGGGGGATTTGTGTTCAATCTCAGCCTGCTATACTGAATAAAGCAACAGTAAAACAAACCACAGATTGACAGTGTGCCATGTATTGTGAACATATAGGTCCACAGCTAACTATACCTCCCAGGATAATTGCTCAGTATATTCCCCAATGATCTGCTGCTGTTTCCTGCCTGTAGAGTCTCACTGTAGTAGACATAAAACATATAGAATGTGTTTATTGCCATATGGACTATGAAGTCATTCGACTTCTATGGAAATGTAATTGATAACAACATTTTGAATTCTTACCCCACAGTGTATGATAGCTATTGTTAACAGCATCATCCCACCAACCCTTGCTGCTTTCTGAGTGAAATGTCCTGTTGATAGTCCAACAAGCAAATGTTCCAAATGCTAAAATATAATTTACTCCAAGTAGAAATAAAACAGCTTATGCTACTTAATAGACCCAACAAAGTGTGTACTATGCCATGGATGCTATTTTAAATTACACTGCAATAAAAATTATTAAATTCAAAGATGTTCAGAAAAGTACCTTGAAGTACTCAGTGAGGCCCTCATTTTGAAGGTTGCCCGTGATGCCAGTGACGTCTCTCTTCTATACTGTGTTAACTCTACAACCTTAGGTCTGCATGTGATTGTGTATTTCCTTGTTTAAATAAATACTGAATGAGTAAATGAGCTTGTACAAGAGTAAATGAGCTTGTACAAGAGTTAAAAATCAATGATTGAGGACTTGGCTCCAAACAATATATGGCCCCTATGACAATACTGTTGCTCACTGAGTGGTAGAGTCAAACTGTGTGTTTTATGGCACCGTACGTAAACAATGCAGGTCTACTGGGGGTTTCCTACCACAGGCCCCATTTTTATTCATCACCTCGCTATATGCACATGTTCTAAATGTGATATTTTACAGAAAGGATGCTTAACATGTGAGTTTGGGTCTTGAAAAACATTCCAGAGTTGGTACAAAATATGACATCACTAAGTGGCAAAAACCATTTGGGTTCATGTCAGTATTGTTAAGTTCAGGCCTTATAATCTCTACAAGACCCTCTATGTGGATAATGGAAAATTTGATTCAGAAATCCTGATCATTAGTTCAACAAAGTGACACACACTTACCTGTTCAAACCTATCCATGTTTCATCATCTAATACTGATTCACTTTATAGGAAGTCTCTTTAAACATCGCATATAATTTCAATGATTTCTATGTTTTTATTAAGTTGCTGGGATACATAAAGTGGATTTTACACAGTCATTCTACTGCACAGCCTGTGAAAACAGTTGTATATCTTCTATAGCTCTGGAGGAGCTTTCCAGAGTTTTTCCAGAGAGGAAAAAAAAACTTGTGATATGGGAAGAGGTTTCTGGTGCTATGCACAATACTGGAAAGCCGCAAAACAAACTGATGTTATAGACATTCATTCTTCCTAGGGACAGATATTTTTAAGTTACAAGTTTCTGACTGTAAAGAAGATTCTTGCTCTCAATGAAAATTAAGTGGATTTTCTATGAATATATTCCATGCTTGTGTACATTAACAGACTTCTCCCAAAATAAAGATGAGAGTAAATATCCTTCATAGACCATCCAGAAGTGACCACAATGTACTGAATCACTGCTGACATATTTATGGATTCACACATACATCACTGTGCTGTGGTAACCATGTATTCCCCAAACATCAAGTTTTCATGAAGGAAGTCGATCCTGTTTTCAGCTCTGTGTCACTGCATTTTCAGATAAATGGATTTTTTTTTTCACAGCTCATAAATCCTCCAGATTATCTGAATAAATCTACTTTCCTAAATTTGGTTATGCTTTGTTTTCACTGGACGACATCAATATGCAACCGTTTTGTTTCCTAACTTTAGAGTTTTCCAGGTATTATGGAAGAGTTCCTGCTGATGACAGCAAACACTTTTTGACTCATGAGTAACATGAGTCCTGATTTTGGTTGGATATTCCCTTTAGATCTCCTTTCAGAGGAGCTACTGAATACATACTTTTCTGCATTACACAGCACTGCCTGCTGGTCAAAGTGAGGAACTGCGCTCCTGTGAATCAATGAAATGACTGAAATTCCATAACATGCAAACCGCAGTTTACACGTGCATATGAGCACCTCTTATACAGATGTTCAGATTCTTGTACTGCCTCCAGCTGTTCTCTGAGTGTGCAACTTCTCCTTGGATGGTTTATTTGTCATTGTTTTAGTATCATTTTCAGTGTCAGGCACTGGCTCAATATACAGCTTAGGTCTAAACTTTGAGCTGTGCCAGTCTTCACACTACATATAGAGGAAATTAAAGACAAAAGGTGTAGGTTTAACTGCCTCTCAGGAACATGCTATAATCTTGGACAAGAACAGCCAATGCAAGGGACTCTCTCTCTCTCTCTCTCCGTCGCTCCTCCTCATGCCCCCCAAACCATCCCCTCTTATTAAAACAACACGCCAATCTGTTGCAGCCCGGTAAAAGGGGTTTGGGAGCCGAAGCAGCCATAAAGAAGGCTCCACACACAGCCGTCTGGAAGGCATTACACAGCAGCGGCACAGAGATTTCTGGCCACTTCTCTGCGCTGTGTTTAACCTGGATGCTTTGGGAAACTCTAGAAATACTTACCTACCTGCCCCACAAGACAGCAAAATGCAAATGATCAGACTTATATTTGATTGTTAGAGTAACTGCTGGGACCTCTTTTTAAAAAAAATTCTGTGTCAATATGATTGACGCAGCTAAACTTTTTGTAACTTTTAAAAACTTTTAAAGAATGAATGAAATTGTCAGAAGTTGATGGAGAAAAATATTTATCATTTTTGCATAGTCTACTTTTTATTTATACTTTTTTATATGAGCAATGCCAAAGTTGACTGACATGATGTTTGTGTTTGTACACTTGAGATGCATGCGGTGCATAGTTAATGACTGCAGATTGACTGTTAAAAACTAGAGAAGACAAGCAGTCTGAATATTTTCGAGCATCCAGCTGAGCAAGCTTAGAGGGACCCGCGTGAATATTATTTGTTCTCTTATTGATGAGGATCATTTTCAGCGGATTCATGAGACTCATTACTACACAAGTGTCCTCTCAAACTTTGTCGAGACTTTTTCTCCTTGTGGAGCGGTACCAGAGCCGCCGGAGCTGACCGCATCCTTTCTCAAGGACGAACGAGAGGACAACAGCTGCTTCAAGGTAGGCGGCCAGTGATCATTTGGTCTGGTGATTATGCAGAGAGTGATTAATGTTCAATCAGAAGCCAGTTATACTTATGTAGTAAGTAAGTAAGTTGTTGCACATGTTGATGCTCCAAACTCTTATTTCAGTATATGTATATATTTCTGTCACAATTTTAAATAATGAGAATGACGTCCAAAATGTAAGCTTAGTAAAGTGAGTGATGCTTTAAGTTGGGGGGCATGCCAGCTTTTATTCTCTCTGAATGCGCCTCAATGGCTCGTGCGTAAAATACGGACAGCGTCTTTGGAAAGTTTTAAGCTAAAAGCAACTACGTCTTTTTTTTTTCTCAAAAGACGTTAGCTGCTCTTATTAAAATGGCATTATATCCACACTACGAAAATATGTGTCACAAAAGTTTAATTTGTCCAAACTGGCACGAACATCTGCTTTCCTCCTTGTCCGGCAGTGTCAGCTGTGGGAATGTGCGAAACATATCCGCCCATATTAGTTTTCCGATCATATGAAATTACACATAGCCTCTGCTGAGCCAGTTATTGTACCATGAGAATAAACTAATGATGACGTCGCACGCCGTACGTCATTCTTTGACGGTCGTGAACCAATGGGAAGGCTGGATTTGGACCATTTAGCGTACCTCGTGGTAGGAGCGCCTAATTTTAATGCCTACTGTGAAAGACACAATTTGCGCACATGTTAATACTGAATAGCCTCAATGTTTTAAACAGTAATTTAGTAATTGTTGGTAATATTCTACTGTGAGTGGCTGGGTAATGGTGAGAGACATTTACCTTGCTGAAAGGTTCAGCAACCCCTCCCAGCTTCAGACTGAGCTTGTGCTTGAGATCAGAAATGAAAGCTTATGCAGGTGCCAACTTTTCATGGTGCCTTAAAACACGTGTGCAAATTTCTTGCTGACTGTTGGCATTATAACTTTCCCACACACCCACTACACACTTATGCAAATGAACATCTGTCACACTCTTTTGACATATTCTCTTCCTCCATCCGCCTATACTCTGACCTCTCAGTGTGCAGTGTACTACTGTTGGCTCATATAAAACCCACGCAAGGAATGCCCATCTGTGAGTTGGATGTCTAAGCATTCCTGTCATTTATCTATGATGTACTGGAGAGTTTCTGTCCTACACATGGAATCTACTTCCTACCGACCTGGCTTGTCTGTTCAGGAGGCATTTTAATGCTCACACAGTGGAAGCTGGAACCATGGGGATATCCATCTGTAAAGCCTGATGAAGCTTTTAGTCCACTGTCAGTGTTAATATATTAACAGGAGAGCCCTCACCTCTCATCTTAAGGGGCTTAAAGTTGCTATATAGTTTATCACATCTTTATCTTGGTATACTGATGTAGAAACAGCTGCAAAGACCCACTTTGTCACGTTCTTCTGCAGCGCTGTTAATCCACCCACAAGTTCTGTGCTTAGAAACATGTCCAGTATTACTGTACCACTGGGGAAACCTTGTGTAGATTGTAGATATATAGACATAGATAAAATGATAAGTCTCAGGATACAAGTTCTTTGTATAATCAGTGCATGTGCACATATGTAACCAGACTAATACCAACATACTGTCCATAATCTCAGCCCTCAAGGGACCTCCTCTACTGAGCATGGGGGCTCAGTGTGCTACAGTGAGGAAGGCAATCCATCTCTGGTGCCTGTTAGTGGAACATTAAACTCTACAACAGAGATTTAATTCTCATGTGCAGCAATTTGAGTAGTCCATGACTGTGACGTACTGTGGCTGGTGATACCCCTAAAAGGAAGAAAAGTACATTTCTTGGCACTCTTCAGTGGGTGACACAGTGATACAGTTTACTGCAGACTCATTGCTACAGGATGTTCTTCCACACTGCACACAGAGCAGTTTACTACTTCACAGAGGAAGGCATTCCATGGCTGGTCTCCATTAGGGCTCACAACAAGTCTCACGTGCCATTACTGCTCACAGCAAGGGTCCTACAGCCTAAAGGTCCTTGGGGCTGGCAAGGTATAACTACTGTAGTTAGGAGAGCATGTGTAGCCCCTCCCAAACACATAACACCACCACCTACCTCATCTATTCTGCATTAATTCCACAGTTTTTTCCAGGTACACTTGGTAAAGTAGCAGTGAAGCGGCACTACAGCCAGCCAGTAAAAGTAAAAATTTGGATGTCACTGAGGTCCTGGGTTAGATTCCCACTACCTCATAATGAGTCACAGAGTCTCACAGGGAAGGTTGATGCCAATGCTAATGCATTGTTCCAGGCGTACCAGTAACCCAGGAGCTGTAATAAGTAAGCTATATTTTAGCTGCTGCACAGCAGATATTGTCACATCTTTTCTGTCTTCCTTAATACCTCCGACGATCATTTCATTTATCCTTTCAGGTTCTGGGTTTCTGTCTCTTATGTTATCTCTTAGCTGTAATGAACTGTGATTATACAGAGTGCTAGAATAGACTTTTCTACCACATAGGGAGTAAGCCAAGTTATTTTAGTGCGCTGCTGATAACTGTCTGTAGTCAGATAAGGGAAAGTGTTGGATCAGTGGATGAGACAGGCTGGATTCATAAAAGGGGAAAGAATTTGAAACTTTCTGTGGCATTAATTTAATGGTCTTTAGAAGCCAAAAAAAAAAAAAAAAAAGAACCAAAAACAGAAACCATGAAGTGCTAAAAAAATGCTGCCTTTGTGAAGATGCAGTAAATGGAAGAAAACCAAACAAATAACCAGACAGAGACTGGCTGTAGAGGGAGGCATTCTCGACCCAGACGCAGCTGGAATTTGGCTGAATTTGGTCTTGGAGCCTGCTACAGTGGCATAAATCCAGTGCCTCAGCTGGCAGTGAGCTAAGCCAAGTCCACCACTGTGCCATCACTCTCTTTCCCCCTTCTTCTATTGGTGTCTGCCTCCCTCCTTCTCTCACTTCTTTCCAAACCACTTTCTCTCCTTTCTCACTGAATACTGTAGTCCTCAACATCTTCCTAAGTCTCTTCCTCTTTCCATCTCCTTCTCTGTAGTACAGTTGCATCGCTTCCTTCAGCTCATTCACAAAAAAGAGAGCCAGGGATGAGTCAAAGGGAGAAGACGTGCCAAAATACTAAACAGCATAGCTTGGCTTCAAAATTGAGAACGTATTTACTGCAGTATTTTATTAAATTATGCATTACAGCTTAACTGCCCACCTTCCTTTTTAAATGGAATACAACTAAAGTGATGCAACTCCCACAGTTGTGGTAGGAGAGCAAGATGATGCACAACAATGTAGATTAATACAAAAAAGTCATCTTGGATGTTGTAACCTTTGCTCCTCTGCCAGTTCGAGCCATATCACACCTGATTCTAATAGCTTACAAGAGGAAGTAAAAAGACAGTGGAGGATGGAGGAGAAAGGAGGGGGTGTAAAAGTCAACTCCCTTGTAATGTTGTAACTTTGTACCTTTGCCAGTTGTGGCCCTGTCCACCTGATTCCAATCAAGCGCAGTGGGTGGTGTTACTGTTTAGCTCTGGTTCTTATAATGACAACGCTCCCGCAACAACAGCACACTGTGGCCACATGGGGGGTTTATGAGAGGAAGGAGAAAGGGGAGGAGTGAGGATGGTCAACGACTTCCTAGTGGTGCCTTTAAAAACTCCTATGAACTTCTGAGTTCAGTTAGACTATAGTTTTATTCATACAGGAACAACTGCAGATATATAAGTAAAATTAGGATTTAAAGCTGCAGTAGGTGTCTATATAAAAAATAACTGTATGTCATGTCTAAAGAAACTTTTTTCTTTTTTTTCACTGATAGTAGTACAGTGAGACAGATAATCTGTAAAAAATCCAGTTCCTCTCGCTCTTCTTTGTGCTCTTAATGGCATTTGTAAGAATCCTCCCTGTCTGAACAAAAACAACCTATCAGAGCCAAGATAGATAGTTGATTGTTGAGTCTCATTCCCAGAATGTCGTTATTTCACGAACTGGGTGACTATTATAACTAAATATGACAAAAAGTTATTTTTTACGAGTGACCTACTGCAGCTTTAACTAGATGACAGTTATTGACTTTATATCCGTGTATCAAATATACTGAATGTATATATTTCACTTTTACCTAATGAAGTCTTCACACTATCTTTTGAAACTCATTTCCCTGAGATTTGGTTATTTTTCATAGACCATAAATAAAAAGAACAAATTTCTATCATGCAGTAGCTTAAGAAAGTAGGTAGGAAGTCAGGAGCCGGCCTTGAGCGTGTCAAGTGTGTCTCTCCTAAGTCAGGAGCCAACTCTTGAGTCTTTCCCAGCCGCTCCCTCTCCGCTGCCTCATCATAGGAACATGTGAGCCTTTCCTGCATCCTGCTGCAACAGCCGTCATGAGGGCCATCTCCACATTTAATGCTTTTAAAATGCATGCAGGCGTTTTCCAGCCCTGCCCAGCTCAAACACATACACACACACCCACAAACTAGCGCACATACAAGTTCGCTATGTGCACTGCTTGTTCAGGTTCCAGACGCTGTATCACTCCATTTTTGCTTCATGCCTTTGAGATTTCAAAGGTGTGTATGACCTCAGCACGTCTGGTTTTCCAATACTGTCTTGGTGATAACATAGACTCTGTCCAATATTTCTTTAATAGATCAATGCTTTTAGCAAACTATAAATACCATTAACATATCTCCATTAGCCTGTATCTATTGTAGATGGATAGAGGCAATGAAATTAAATTCATTTAAAGCCCTCTCTCACTTTTATACTGTATTCAAGTACACCACAAGTGTGAGCTGGCTCTTAAGAGCAACATGACAGTTTGATTTGTGAATAAGAGTCATCTGGCCAGAGCCGCTGATTTGTGAATGTTACACTTCCAGCCAGTGATTGCTGAGTCACAATAACATAAAGATGTAAGCTTTATGTTATCTCAGCTCCACACAGACCAGCAAAGTGTCTTTTTTGGCTATGCTTCAGATTTATGCTGCCTGTGCAGAGCATACAGTAATGACACACACACAAATTCACATACACATATGGTACTTACTGTATAAAGACTCACACGCGCGCACAGTCTGGCGAGCCTTGTTATATTTTATGTTTCATCACAGGCCGTGGAACTGGGACCCTGCTGCCAGGGATTCCACTGCTCCCCTGTGAGTTTAGTCAAACCATCCCTTCCTCTCTGCAGTGCGCATACACTGACACACATATATGTCTTCCTGTGTGCATGTGTGCACACTGGCTAAACACACACACACACTATACAGCTTACATATTTGCACATTCACTCACACACGTGCACACATGGCAAGCGTTCAGCAGTACCAGTGAGACTTAATGGCCACATATCTATCTGACAGCTATTCACTGTTACATAACATACATAATGGCAATTACAGCATGCAGTGATTCTGCTCACTATACTAAATCACTTAGACCAAAATAGGTCACAGAGATATTTTCTTTAGTTCCCCACATACCACTAATACTAATACCACTAACCGAACACTAATATGCTACTATAAGACTCTAGTTCAGAGTCAAACATTTGATACTCACAATTATACATAGAACAGATGATAGAATGGAAGATTAATGAATAACACTAGCATTGTTGTATTACATTTGTAATAACCCCTACATTTTCTTCTAACATTCTAACACCATTATCAGGTCAAATTTTCAATTTGTCCAATAATTTGGTTTTTGACAAAATAAAACTGATATTCCCATCAGCCTCAGATATACTGTGCTATAGTGCTAATTAGCAAATGTTAGTATGCTAATACGCTAAACTAGCGTTCTGATGCTTAGCATTCTGATGGTAACATTTAGCTCAAAGCCTGAGTTCAGGCTCACAGAGTACTGTACCTGACTTTTTATTTTATTTTTGTCAGTAACCACAAAACTCATTGCCAGTTATCCCTTACATATTGGACATATGTTAAACATAACAGAAAAATATGTTGTACAGATGGTTACATTAAATAATTTAGTTAGATAATATCCTGTGCATTGCAGTACACAATGTTTGTGTTCGGTCTCCTAACACGTCCATCAATATCTGTATTGTTTTTATGATTAAATCTCAGTAGAACAGACACTGTAATGTTATTTCAAATAGCGAGACAACTAATTCATTCATTCATTCATTCAAACAATTTGTCTCTCAGCTAATCCACAATCTATTCTCCATCCATGCAAGACTTCGCATTATTGTAATATTATCTCGGAGACAGAGCCAGTGGGAGTTATGCTCAAGAGACTGTAATAACGTCAGAGTGAGACTGCTAAAGCATCCAACCCAAGGTCATCATAGGGTTGGACACACGCACGCACACATGCACACACAAAACAAAGGCCAGGAGATAGTGGCGGGGTTCACTCACTCACTTGCTCCAGGACACAAAAACAAACAGAAAGCAGGGGTGATATCATCCACATGTGCTAATAACACCTTCAGCTCGCACACACACGCCATATATCAATATACACGTACATACGACGACAAAGTAAAAACATCCACATGTGTCCATGACACCTTCACTGTCACAGATATTGCTCTGATTAGAGGCTTCATCTCTCAAGGGCCAAGGCCATGTTTGGATGACCATCTTGACTGATTCTTAGTCGCAGCTAATCTTCCTGCAGTCTGAGCTAATTGTTAGTCTTGACACTGGATCACACGCCCATAAGGGTGTATGAGACACTACAAAGAGCAAAGCATCCTGACAAGAGGCAACATCTGAGCTGTGTCTTATTGCACTGAATCACTGACTGCGTTTGACAGCATTCAGATGTTCTGCAGTGAGAAAACAGCAAAAGCTAAACGTGACCTCAGTTGAATTTCACAGTTTTCAAAGCAACCTTTTAACCAGAGCGAGCATTTAATAAAGTGTTGATCCTAAACAAACAAGCAGTGGAAAAGCAACAAATGCTTTTTGGAGTTTGCATGTTCTCCATTTGTTCTCTGATTTCCTCCTACAGTGCAAGAAAGGCGATTAGGTGAACTGGAAAATGTGTATTCCCTGTAGATGTGAATGCATCTGTCTGAATTAGCCCTGTCTTACCCTGCTCATGGACGTATATATATTAACATTTGTGATGACTTCTTGTCCTAATACCAAAGATTTGTACAATATAATGTACTACACCAAAACTCAAACCATAATCTGATGGCATATGTATGGTAAATTGTTTTTTTTTCCTAAGCAGCTGAGTTCATTTAAAGTTGATTCAGGGGGACAGGGTCAAAGAGTTTGTTCTGCAGTACATTAAATAGTTGTGAGACATTATACACTCACACACATGTGCACAATCTAAAGGAGGTCTAAGGTGAAAACGCTGTCTCAGCGTAACACAATTAAAAGTGTGTATTTTTACGAACACACACTCCTCTCTCCCGCGCGCTCTCTCTCTTCCAATAAGCGTTTATACGTGCATTTGTGTGTACGTGTGTGTGTGTCATGGGTCTTGTAAATGAGCGGCTGACGTTAAAAGCCTTGCCACGTGCCAGAGGAGGCCTGCTACACTGGTTGTGGCCTTCTCATCCAACGATCAAATGAACAAGGCATTATGTCTGAGCCAAGGGGTGTGTGTTCGTATTCCTCTCTCCCAGCTCAGCCTCACTCTGCTCCTGCTACTCTCTATTGCTTTGTTTTCCTCTTGAACTCTTTCAACATATGTCTTCATTTCTGCTCACTGTTATCTATCTTACCCACTTTCTTTTCCTTTCTTTCTTTCTTTCTTTCTTTCTTTCATTCTCTCTGGCTCTGCCTTCCTCTCCACCTCTTCCTCAGACCGTTTTACACTTTATTTTCTTGCTCTCTCTTTGTTACTGCTCTTCATCTCCTCCCCATCTGTCTTGTTGTGTTTTAGGTGTGGTGGTGAAAGAGCTCTTGCTAAGATCACAACAACTGCTGGGCATTGATACCTTCATGTTGTGTCTTGATCGCTACAACTTACATTGTAAACGATATTTATGGATAAATACTGCAATAATAGGAATTATTTGTAAGGCTCACCAATTCAATGTTTAAAATCTTTAACATGCAGTCCAATACAAATCAAGTCAAATACATGTCCCACAGGGGGGCGCCACACTGACTCAGTGAGCAAAGGAGAACACTTTGACCTTGATAATGTCAAAGGGGCAAACTCGCTTCGATCTATGCAATATGCAAAAACACATGTTGTTCACAATGTTAAAAAGCAGTATAATATCAAATCATCCTTCTTCTCACTGTACATCTTTATCTTTGTATCTGTTTAATCTTAGACATAATTTTCTTGTTTCTCCGGGGAGTCTTAGAGGGGAAGAAGCCCACGTGCAGCATAAAAAAAAACTAAAAAGCTCTTGTCTTCTTCTTCTTCTTCCCACGGAGATATAAACAGATGACATCACAGGGTGGACCGCTCTGCGTTGAGCCGAGCTGAGCCACGCTGAGTGGGTCTCCGTTGGTCTGCCAAACAGATGGCGGTAGCAACATAATGAGTGCTGGAAACAAACTTCAAGATTTTGAGCAGGAGATTTTGTGCAGTAGGGCTCAGGTTTATAAAAGACTGTCACTCAGAGTTTAGACACAAAAGCTTCTTCACTCGTCTCCACATAAAAACACACAGAACAACCTTTCATGGTCTACATCAGAGTTCCTTATATGGGATGCTCGCCTGAAAATAGTTTTTGAACCCCCTTTACAATACAGAAGGGGAAAAAAAAATCATAATAGTTTCTCCGGGGCATTTAGAGTTGGACGTTTGGCAGGGGCAGCCAGCTTGTTGGTTAATTAGGTCAAGAAATCTTGTAATGTGCGCCCACCCACACTAAAGGAGAGTTGGAACAATCGGCTACTCACAACTGTCTGACATTTAGACAGAGATTTTGGGGAGGGGTAGAGGGAGGAGAGGGGAAAGAAGGGAGTAAAAAAAATGGGGAGAAACTTTACTGCTTTCTCTACCCAGGTTTGTTGTAATAAAACAAGGTTGTGTGTGCCATTGAAGAGCATGCTGAAAAGCTGTAAATTAGCATTTTTGATTCCTACTCCTGTACTGAAGGCAGTGTTTTCTATGTGCAGTATGCTGCATGTTTCTTTTTCATTTTCCCTCTCTAAATCAAAGTATGGTCAGCAGACTTTTGCAGGAAGTCACTTCTTGTAACTAAAATCTAAAAGTTTTGTGCCACATTGACTAAATGTAACCCTTTTCTTCAAATTTTGTCCCTAGATGAGGTGTCATAGAGTCCTCACCTACCTGCGGATATTCGGGACCACCATGTTCGGTGTGTCCCTACTGGTGGGCATCTCCACGGCGTACATCATGGGCTACCAGTTCTTCACCACAGCCCGCAATCACCTATCCTTTGGTCTGTACGGTGCCATCTTGGTCGTCCACCTCATTATCCAGAGCCTTTTTGCGCTCTTGGAACACCGAAACATGCGGCGGTCCTTAGAGACGCCAATCAAACTGAACAAATCCTTGGCGTTGTGCATTGCAGCGTATCAAGAGGACCCAAACTACCTAAGAAAATGCCTGGTGTCAGTGAAGAGGCTGACCTATCCTGGGATCAAAGTGATCATGGTGATCGACGGGAACTCAGAGGATGACATGTACATGATGGAGATTTTTAAAGAGATCATGGGACGGGACAAATCGGCCACGTACGTGTGGCGGAGTAACTTTCACCACAGAGGGCCAGATGAGACGGACGAGAGCTACGCTGAGGGCATTCAACAAGTCTCCAGGCTGGTGCTGAACAACAAGTGTGTGTGCATCATGCAGAAGTGGGGAGGAAAGAGAGAGGTCATGTATACCCCATTCAAAGCACTGGGGAGGAGCGTGGACTATGTGCAGGTAAGTCAGTTAAACTAGAAATGTATATTAATAGAAGTGTTTGAATGAGCAGAATATAAAGGGAGGGTGAAGGCAGGGAAGAATGGATAGTGGAGATGACTAGACTGAATGCAAAAGGGGCAAAAATAAATAGGAAAAGAGACAAAAAGAAGGGTGGAACGAGATTGCAAATTAGACACCATTATATAACAGGTAAGATATTCGGTGGTATGTGCCTGTTTGCATGTCTCACACACACACACACACTCAGGTAAGACAAGGACAGTTGACATCAGTGTGAGCTGAAGATAGAGGGAAATGGAAGAGAAAGAGAGATGGAGAAAGAGATGGCTAGAGCGGGTAGGGGAGGTGGGGGGCTCTGCCAAGCCAAATATGAGGTCCACAAAGAGTCTTTTGTGTTGCTTTAGACGGACAGTGGCTGTGGGCATTGTGTTGTGAAGTGTAGCGTGAAGAAGGGCAGCAGTACCTGATGTCTAAGTGTAATAACAGATCTGTTTCACAGGGCTGAGTGTTACATCACCTACATGAGTGGTATTCAGACTCAGGGCCCAAAACTGTGTCAGAGAAAGGTTAAATTTGGTATGTGTTTCTTGATAACTCTCAAATAGCATACATTTCTGTAGGGCTAAAAACTATATGGGATTTAGTGAAATACTGTTGTCGGTGAAAATCAGCGAAACAATAATAATTTCAGTGTATGTTATTGACACTTAAATTATATCTTTGGAACAGCCAGTTCCCAGTGTTGTATGACTGGTGAATACAGTTTAATAAGGCTAATGTTGTCTAGTCTAGCTTTAAACTGTGCTTGCCTATTAAATAAAAGAATAGAAGAAGTTTACTGCAATTTAGCTGAAGGTCCAGCACGTCCTTGTAATAATGTCATAATATGCATTTGATTAAAAAAAAATTACTGATTAGCCCGACTGAAAGTTACTCCCTTGTACACCTTCATAAATCTATTCCACTACTGTTTTATTGCGTGCCAAGTAGTTACCTGGCATATGTCACCAGACCATGTCCAACCCCTAGATGACTAAATAAATGTATGCATGCCATTGTAAAGTAAAGTGTTTTGGATCATTTGCTGTGTGTTCTGCTGTGAGATGGAACACTGGCTAGTAGAAACAATTGTAAAAGAGTTGTAGGATTAGGATGAATGGTACATGCACACTACATAAATACAAAAAAAGAGCTTTCTAATGTTTAAAATCCCTTTTCTAGACTTGTGCATCAATTCTTTTGAACACTACTTATCAAATGTACAATTCTGTAATTTACTGTTCAAGTATTAAAGTAAACTGACTTTGTAAAACAGTCCATTGGCCAAACCACAAATTGTCATCACGTCATATTTGTTTTGTAATATTCAGCTGGTGTTATTACAAAAAGACATCTTGAGCAACTAAATCTGAACAGAAACCTCATTACTATTAAAACATTAGAATGGTTTTAATGAGTCTGCATTACAAAAAGGGAACTTTGCAGTTAAAAAGTCTTTGATATGATGCTTTCTTACACCTGCAGCTGGCTACAGCCTGCCAGAAAGCTCTTGTTTAACAGAGATTTCAAAAACAACTTATTGCAACGCTGCCAGTAATCATGCCAGTACCCTTCAACATGTAGGGAAAGGAGGGACAGTGTTGCATGCCTTTTTACTATCATCAGCCTCTGCCCGTAACAGATGTTAATAGGGATTGGGCTCTAGGTTTGTTTTCATCACCTGATTTTGTTACGGAGGAAAATTACCATTTATAGAAGAAATGTAGAGCTAAAAAAGAGCTTCAGAAAGTGGTGGGTGGTGGGGGGATTTAACCACGGATCAAATTGTTAATCAGACCATAACATTTTTAAATTGGATGCATCATGGGGTGGCTGTGGCTCAGAGGCAGAGCGGGTCGCCTCCCAATTGGAAGGTTGTTGGTTTGATCCCCGGCTCCTCCTGCCACGTGTCGAAGTATCCTTGAGCAAGATACTGAGTGGTC